TATCTAATACAATTTGACATGGATCTTCGATATATGATAGGAAACCATGAAGTGTTGTATCAATAATTGATGGATCTAGGAATGACTTTTTAAAGCTTGTAATTGATGGATTTAATGATATCTTTGAAAATATGCATCCATCACCTTGATAACATTCTTCTACTCTCTTGAAATGATTTAAGTATGATAATCCGGTTTTAGATTTGATGTGTGTGTATAATTCATCTTTTGAAAGTTTTGTGTTTCCACATTTTAATTTTAGTTCCTCAAAATTAAGTTTTTCAATTGGTGTTTCAAAATTGAAAACATGAATTTTACCAAGAGATGATTCTACCCACTCATTGTTGTCTTTGAAGCTAAAACTAACTTTGTATTCGTTTCTTGAGGTTTTTATTATTGATGTTTGTAAATGTTTGACTTCTTTTTCTTTTAAGATTAAAGGTGCCTTGAATTCTAAATATGGTATAATAAAATCTTTAGAGTTGAAAATTGATACAAGGTTATCAATATATCCGCAACCTGGGAAGTAATATTTATCTTTTACAACGTGTCCTTTTAAATATTCAAATGGTGGTCTATTGATATCTATAAATGATTCGTAGATAGTTTGATGTGAGTTGATGGAGAACCCTTTTTGATCAATTGATGGTCCTTCAGTTCTGGCTTTAATAGATCTATCACTTTCTGACCAATATTGACTATTGTCCCATTGATATCTTGGTAGTATAGATGTATTTGATATTACTGATGGTAGATAAATATCTTCATTTATAAACTGTGATTTAAAATTGACATTATAGCCTTTGCAATATAGTTGTGAAATTGTGTTTTGAATTTCTTGAGTATCATCTTTGGTTTTATTTAATGAGTTTATTACTGAAATTGAATCTTCATTAAAATAATTTGATTCTTTTGGTATCATTTGTTTGATATAATATGATAAAGTTGGATGTGGTGAAATCTCTAAAAATATTGCTCTATTGTTTTTATTTTGAGTTTCAATATGATTGAATATACTTTCAATTGCTTTACTAAACATTACTGGTTCTCTAATATTTGAATAGATATAGTGTGAAGCTGGAGGTTCAATTTCATTATTACCAAATAGTTCACCTGTTACGGTTGAAAATGTTGGAATTGTTGGTTTGTTATATTTAATATGTTTTAATGAATAAACAAGATCCTTTATACTTTCTTGAGCTGATGAATGGAATGCTGTTTGTACACCAAGAAATGATGAGAATATACCGTCTGATTTTGATTCGTTATGAATTTCAATTAGTTTAGCTTCATTACCTCCGACAACAATCGATGATGGTGAGTTGTAACAACAGAGTTCAATATCTGGGTATCTAGATGAATACTTTTGATTGAATTGTTCTTCACTAATATTAATTACAAGCATTCTTGAATTTAAAGATTTATCTTGATTATTTGTTTCTGTTAAACTTTGTATTCTTGCTCTTTGGTAAACCAAATAACATACATCATCTAAGTCAAGCATACCAGAACAATAGGTTGAAGTTAACTCACCAAAAGAGTGACCAACGATAATAGATGGTTTAATTCCCCAATATTTATATAGTTCTATTAATGAAAATTGAACGATAAATAATGATGTTTGGGTAATTAATGGATTATTAATTGATTTCTTATCTGTGGGGTCGATTGATCTTAGTTTTTCTAAAATATTGAATCCAGCGTGTTTGCTTAACTTTTCATTTATCATATCCATTGATTTTCTAAATATTGTATTGTTTTCATATAGTTTGAGTGCCATGCTGGTGTATTGAGGGCCTTGACCACACATTACAAAAATAATTTCTGGATTTGAGTGTTTGTGTATAATGTTGTATGATTTATTACTTGAGGTTTTGATTTGATTTTTAAAGTTATCATTGAAACTATTCCAATCTTTGGCACTGATAACTGATCTTTGTAAAAAGTTTGGTGATTTACAAAATACTTGATGTTTAATGAAATCGTCAAATTCAATTTTGTTTGAATAGTTGGATAAATTATTTAAAATATTTGATTTGTATTCTTCTAATGATTTTTTTGAATTTGCAGAAAATGGAATCAAATAGTTTATTTCATTTTTAGATTTTTGAGATGTTTGTTTTTGTAATTGTTGATTATATTCTTTTAAGATTATACAAACATTTGAACCTGATGCGCCAAAATTATTTACACCGATTGTTACTAATTTGTTTTCTGGGAATGGAGTTAGGTCTGTCACAACTTTGATATTCCATTCATTAAACTTTATATTTGGATTTGGGTTATTAAAGTGAATGTTTGGTGCAAATTGACGATGCTTGAACATTAAACAGCATTTAATGATTGATGCAACACCTGATGCAGGTTCTAAATGACCAATGTTGGACTTTACTGAACCAATTAATAATGGTGAGTTGTTTGAATGATGATCTTTTAATGACATTGATATTGCTTCGACCTCTATTGGATCACCTGTTGGAGTACCAGTACCATGACACTCAAAGTAGTCAATATCACTTGGATTGGTTTTACTGTCTAATAATGTTTTTTCAAGATTTGCATGTTGTGCATGTTTTGATGGTGCAAAAAATGTTATTTTGTTGAAAGTACCATCTGTATTTGAGTTAGCACCTTTGATAACGCAGTATATATTGTTGCCATCTTTGATGGCATTTGATAATTTTTTTAATACAAGCACACCACAACCTTCTGCACGTACAAACCCATCTGCAGCAGCATCAAATGATTTACAATATCCGTCGGCACTTGTCATGTTTAGATATGTTACAGCTTTGGTGTATTGTGTATCTATTATAAAAAATGGTAATACAGAGTTAGTATTGGCTATATTGATTAATAGGGTATTGAAATAATAATAAAACATTATAATTACCTAGCATTAAATTGGAACCACCGACAATTGAATATTCACAGTCTCCATTGACAATGGATTTATAACCAAGATGTATTGCATTTGAAGAGGCTGAGCAGGCAGTATCTAAAGTTAACGATTGACCACGAAAATCGAAACAGTATGAAATACGAGTTGACATAATATTTAAATTAGTATTTAAAGAATTGATACTATTATCTTTTTCAGTATAAGCTGTCATTTTATAGTCTACAGTAGTGGCACCGATATATACACTAGTGTTGGTACCTCTCATTCCTTGTATTGGGTCAAGACCGGCATCTTCCAAAGCTTCAAATGTTGATTTGAGTAACAGTCTTTGTTGTGGATCAGTTATTCCCAAATCACTAGGAGCAACACCGAACAATAATGGGTCAAATGATTTCCACTCATCAATTGATACCAATCCAGCATTTTTACTTTTTATTTCCCCTGAATAAAAATGATTCTCGCTCCATCTTTGATATTCTTCTGTGGCGTCAACAATACCATTGAATTTATTTTTTAAATTTTCCCAAAACTGGTCAGGTGTATTAGAATTACCTGGTAAACGAAATCCAACACCAATAATTGCTACATCTTCACTATTATTATCTATATTATCGCTATACATTTTTAATAAAAAAATTTTAAATTTATTTCTATATTCTAATGCTTAATAACTGTTCAATTAATTTTTTAAAACAAAATTGTTGGAATAATAAAAGAAGAAAAAAAATATTTATATACTAATTTAAAAAAAATAAAAATAAAAAAAATAATATAAAACAAAATAAAAAAAAAAGTATTATGAATAACAGATGGAGTTTTATAATTGTATTTTTGTATGTTTATTTTTTAAATTATTAATATTTAAAAAATCGATGTAGAAATCCTTGAATCAATATGGTTGTGTATATGTGTAAAATTTTTTTTTTTTAATTACAGTGCCCGGAATATGCAGATTTCCCATATAAATTAACCCTAACCTTTATTAGATTTCCCATTTATAAATAACCCCCCATAACCTTTATTAAAAAAAGATTAACCAATAATAATTTTTATTTGAAGAAACTTTTAATTTTTAAAAATAAATAGTGTGAAATTAAAAAATTATAAAAAAATCTATATTTTTCCAAAGGGTGTCATTTATTTTGCAAAAAAAAAATTTAATTCAAAAAATTTCTTATTTTTTTTATTTTTCAAATAAAAAGTTTTTTTGATCCAGATTGATTTTTTACCACATTTTTATTTTAATATTTTACTTTTAAAGACTATTGGTTCTTATTTTGCTTGTAAACTGTGTAAAAATACACAGCAAATTTATATATTTTTTATAAAATATAAATTTAAATTAAAAATTAATTTACATTATAATTAAATATAATAAGATAAAATAAAAAGTTTTTGAAAAAAAAATGGTTGTTACATCTTTACCAATAATTAAAAATAATCTAATGAGGTCTTCTTCATATATGAACGCCTATCAAAAGAATTGAAAATAAAAAATAAATAAATATATATAAAAAATAACTAATTTATGTGTCCGTGGGGTAAACAAAATTTTAAAAAAAAATAAAAAAAAAACTAATAGAGGTGAACATATAAAAAAAAGTGTCATTTATCAAAAGTTATAGTTTTCATAGGTTTAAAATAAAATATAAATTAAAAAAAAACTTTTATTAAATAAATAAATAAATAAAAAATCGTTTTTTTTTAAAATTCAAATGTTAAACCATTTTGTTGACTGAGTTCTAATACTTCGATTGGTTGGTAAAACTGTTTGATTCGGAGGGGTTGTTTTCCAACAGTTTTCATTTTAAAGACATAATCCAATAAGAAAATGTAAAGAATTTAACTACCAAGGTAAATCAATAAAAATTTCTCATCTTGACTATCTTTATATAAATTATATTTTAAAAATAAAAAATTAATTAATAAATATATAATAAAAAATTAATTAATAAATATATAATAAAAAATTAATTTTTTAATATAATATAATAAAATAAAATAAAAAAGACAATAATAAAATAAATGAATTAAAGTTTTTATTTATTTTTATATGTTTCTAGTTTTTATCTTTGTTGTAATAAATATTAATAAAGTTTTATTTGAAATGAAAGTCAATATGTTTTTTTATCATATTGATTGTCACAAATGAATCATTGTAGTTTGAATTCATTGATTCTAATAATTTGATTGTTGAACGGGTTGCTTTTAGATTTGATGTGAAAAGGGATTTGTGTGGGTCTAAAATTAATATTTTATTACATGATTCATTCTTTGATTCAATTAATCTTGATTTCCAATCATTATAGTCAAGTTTTTGTAAATTAAATTCTTTTGAAAGTTGTTCTAATACATCACTGATTTTGAATGTGTCACTGATTAAGTTGTACGATTTGGATGAGTTGTTTTCCCAACAGTTTGCATTTAATAATATTTTGCATACATTATCTGATATCCAGGTTATAGGTGCTAAATTGGTAAGATTTATAAATTGATCTGGATATATTTTAAATTTGTAGCATTGTTGAATAAATAGTTGTACAAAGTCATTTTTATTTCCGATACCAGTGTATGGATTTGCAAATATAAATGGTAATCTTAATACAATTGATGGTATTCCTCTGTTTGAAGCTTCTCTGACTAAATATTCTGAAACGATTTTAGATTGACCATAACCGTTTTCACTTTGTTCAATTTGGTCGACTGATGGTATGAATGAGTCTTCAAATTCTTCTCTTTGAATATTTGTGAATATTGAAAATGATGAAATGTGAACAATTGGTTTAATTAGTTTTTCATTGTGGTTTGCAAATTTAAGCATTTCATATGTTGATGCAACGTTAATTGGTTTACATTCTGAATATGGAGATATTAAATTGGTATTGGCACCACAATTTATTATTAAATTGATATTTGAAGCTATATTATTATATTGTCCATCTTGAAGGCCAAATTGCTGAATGGAAATATCACCTAAAATAATTTCAATCTTTTTAAATTCATTTGCTGTTATTTGTTCGTATAATCTATGATATTTTAAGTTGTTTATAATTGTTTCTAATGCTTCATTATTTGATTTTTTATTTCTAACTAAACAATAGATTTTTGAGCAATTTGATCTTTTTAATAAATTCGATAACAAATAAACACCTAAATAACCTGATGTACCAGTTAAAAGGACATTTAAGTCGTTTGCTAAAAGATTGTTAAAATCTATCGAAGTATTTGCCAAATTTTTGACTGTGTTGTTTAATTTAATTTCTTTTTCCCAAAACTCTTTATTGTTATTGTTGCTAATTATCTTTTGATTAGTTTTTTTATTATTATTATTGCCATTTAGAGATTTCGAAATATTTTGAAGTAGTACACCAATTGTAAAAGTTTGTATTTGGGAAATTGTAAATAGGTTTTGAGTGTAGTTTGAATCTATAAAGTTTTTAAGTGAAATTATAACCATAGAGTCTGATCCAAGATCAATTAAACGGCAATCATGATTGATTTTTGATGCTTCAATTGTTAAGAGTTCTGAAATTTTATCAATTACTTTTTGAATTGCTCCTGAGTCTTCACCAGATAGTTGTTTGTTTTTAGATTGAATTGCATTAGAAATAAAATCAATTTTGCTGTTGGCTGGTTTGTTTGCGTAACTATCGATAGAGTCATTGAAAATGTTTACAGAAAGACTGTTGGAGATTTCTTGATTTTGAATAAAAAGATCTAGAGATCCTAATAATAGATTTACAGTAATTGGTGAAAATCCCAAGTTTTCGATAAATCTTGCAATTGAACGTTGTTTTGAAATAAAACCTGCAGTTTCAAAAAGACCCCAAAATGTTGAAATTGCTGGTAAACCTAATGATCTTCTGTGTCTTGCAAGTGCATCTAAAAAGTAATTTGAACTTGTATATCCAACTTGAATTGGTGATCCAAAAATTGCAGTAACTGAGGAAGCTAATATAAATTGTTTTAAATCCCATTGGTTTTCTAATGATAAGTTGTGTAGATTCATTGCTCCAAACGATTTTGCGCTTAATGATGCATATAAATCGTTTTTACTGACTTCTAATGGTTCGTGATTAACATATTGAAAAGCGAAATGGAAAATAGATTCCACTTGACCAATATCTTTATTTTCTAAATAAATTTCTTTAATTGATTGACTGATTGACTCATATTCGCCAATATCACAACTCTTAAATATATATTTGATATTATTCTCTGAACCATTAATGAGTTTTTCAATTTCCCATCTTTTCTTTGATTTTGATAAAATAATTATAGTATCGACAGATGTTGAGCATTTTGAAATCCATTTTAATATTTCTAAGATAAGACCTGTTTGACCAGTCACTAAAACAGTTTTACCTAAACTTTCATGGTTGATTTTATAATCTGGTTTTAAACAGTTGTAGTCTTGATTATTATTTTCTAAAAGAGGAGTTAAAACATCACTATCCATTTTAACTGAGATTTTACCAATAAGTTTTCTCTCGTTCATAAATTCGATTGCTTCTTTGATATTATTAACTGAAATTTCTTTAATTGGTATAAGTTCTAAACTCTGATTTGAAAAACCATCATATAATTCTTTTAATAGCATTCTAAATAATTTGTTATGTAGTTTTGATATCTCCACAGCATGGTAACCAATATTGTATTTGAATTTGTTAAAATCGGTGTATTCGTTTGCATTTAAATGTGTTACCGAAACATCTACAATTCTACCGCCTTTACATAAACATTTAAAGTTTGCATCCATAAATTCATTTGAAAATGTGTTTAAAATTAAATCTACACCATCTTTTTGAGAGCCAAGTTGTTTTAGTTTCTGTTTGATTTCTTTTACATAGTTAATATTC